TCTAAAGCTGGACAAAATTCAGTGTGCTGCCTCTAAACATTTTTGGGGTCCACAGGAAAGACAAAGATCATCTCAGTATCCTGGAAGAAGCACCAGCAGGGGCAACTCTTCTATCAGCACTTTCTCTTTGCTTTGCAAGTTATTTCAGGTGACATACATAGCTCCAGTTCCCCCACAAACAATAGTAGCCTGTATTAGAGTAGACTACTGCAAATCTATGCCTCAGGGAGCTGGAGCAATTATTCCTGAGGGGGGAAGGGGGGGAAAAAAACCCCCATGAACAAAAAAATCCCCTGGCAAACAGACCCTCTGGGAGAGAGGATACAATTCCGATGGAGTACTCCAGATGCTGTAGGGCCTGCACTCTCCAGGCAGATAAATCTGTTGTTCCTGACCTCTACTTCTCCAACCCAAAGATGAGCGAGCCTGACTTCCCAAGAAGCAAGAAGAATCAGGATCAAGTTAGTATTTCTTAAAAGTAGTCATAAGTATGTGTTAAAAGATACAAAGAGGGAATGTGATATTAAAATAGAGGGCTGGGATTTTATTTCGGTACCTAAGAGATGGGATCTTCTAAACCTGCTGCTGTCTAAGCCTGGGTATATCTAGTCTTAATGCAAGAAAGAATGCTAATTTTGCAGGTGGCAACCACATTTCTCACCCCTCCCAGAGCATTGGAAGGCTTTACTATCCTTACGCAAGGAAATCAAATTCTTCAAAGCATTGGTTAGGCGGGAAAAACCTCACGCTCCTTGTAATGGACTAATGAAGAAAGATGTTTTGGTGTTTGCTGAAGCTGGCCTTGCCTTTGTCACAGCCACCTCTCAAGACACACTAACATTTGATCAAAGTGAGGTGCGTGAAGAACAGCTCTTGGTGCAGGAGTAGCTTCCTGGAGCCTGCCTAGGACGAGGAGGCGGAAGAGCTAATCAGCACTTCCTGCTGCTGAGAGAGAGAGGAGAACGCGACACACATGACAGGATCCCTGTCTGCAATTGATTTGAGGATGTATGTTCACGATAAGCCTTGACAGGCTGCTGAGATGGATTGCATGAATGTCAAGGACTTAGAGATAGGCCTTGTTTCTGTAAACAACTTGTCCCAGGACATGGTGCCAATGGGAAGGGCTGGTGAGATCAGGGAGTGAACATGAGTTTGGTGAAGTATGAGCAAATTCAACACAAGAACAAGTTAACCAAGACTCCATTAAAATCAGACAAGTACATAACTCCTAGTGAAGAGTAACAGTTATTTCCTTTCCCGTAGTGGAGCCCCATGATGCAGAACTTGGTGTTTTGAGAGTGTTTTTCCACAGGTCCTGCAGCACCCAGTGTTTTTTCCATGATCTTCAATTTCCAAATGGAGAAATTAGGGCATAGACAGCATACGCACAACTGCAAAACTGGTCAGAGGCAGAAACAGGAGTAGGACCCATCTTTCACAAGTTCACAGGGCCACAACTACACAGCGTAACACCAGCTTCTCCCATACTTCAGGGCTTAGATATACTGCAATTTTCATTTCCATGTCTGTATTTTACTTCTCACCCCTTTAGTATCAGTATAGAAATAAAACTGATTTCTTTTTTTAAGGGGAATAATAGGAATCTCTTGGGATAGGTGGAAAAATACTTGAGATATAAAAAGCTCCTTCCTGTGTGAAAATAAAAAGTCATACAATGTGGCACAGAGGAAAGCAGTTAGCATTTACAACTCCACACAAGACACACAGAGATCAAAGAAATTCTTCCACTGTCTCAGAATGACAGGGCAACTTGGCCATCTTCACTTGACTGACACAGTGCCAAGATCTGACAGCCAACAGCAGCTTCAGAGCATCATGCAAACCCTTGGAGCCAGCACAGAAGCATAAGAACTTGCAGCAAGATGATCATCATCACTGCCTGCCAGGTAGGAAGGGTTACAGGGGAAAAGAAAAAGGGTTTCTTTGCTTGTCAGGAAAAAGACCCATGAACACTTCCCTGGAGAGGCTTGCAAGGTAGAGCGTCGCAGGCATGGCAAAAAGGGAACCTAATAAATTTCTCCACGCAGTTTTGAACTTGACATGTATTTATTTGAAAGCTCCCTCACAGAAAAAGAGGGAAGAGAGGCTAACCAAATGAATAACAAAATCTGTAGAAAAAGCAGCATCTGAACACTGCAACGCACACTGCTGTTTATCCTTCATAGGGTCTTAAGAATGCAGTGTTATATTAAAATTCAGGCAGCACTGCCTGCTCTGAAGTGCTGCCAGTGGGACAGGACCCTATTACCTGCCTGGCTCCTAAGCATGAAATAGCTACTGCAAGAGAGTTTGTTGATGTTGATATACAACAGTCTAAATCAGGAGGGCAAACAGACATCAACCTTCCCTTCAATATTAGCATTCAAGGGCAACAAAAGCAGAAGCACTGAGGTTTGAGTTTGAGGCTTGTGGCATGTCAGCCACCCCCAGCAGAGAGGACATGTGCACCGGTGGTGCAGAGAGGAGTGAGACAGCAATCTTCCAGGGGTACAGAGTAACAAAACCTACTGGGCAGCGCATATTTCAGGGTACAATTGTAGACTTTTATTTTACTCCTCCTTTCCCCACATCATCTCTAGAACATTAAAGCATGTGCAGGAACAATTCTGTCATAGCATTTTCTTGCTTTCAAAATAGAGATTGCGGTGCTAGATGTCAAAGTCTTCAGTTCTTCTGGATGCCAAAAGGGACGAATTCTTAGGCAACTGTTCCAAGCAATTTGTCTAGGGAGGGCAGCAGCTCATCTGTACACAGCAGCAGATAAAGGGCTGCGTGGAGGAAGAGGGTTTGTCAGCATTGCTGAACTAAATTTCAACAGCGATTAAAGGTAGGTCACAACAACTAACAGCTTCCAGCCCCTCCTCTCTGACTTTAGAAAACATAGGAGAGAGTTGGCTGTTTTAAGAACTGGCCAGCCATGGGTTTGGTTTTTTTAACAGTCAATAGACATGATAAATATCTTCTGGCACCAAATGTCTCATCCTAACATCCCATAAAGTTAGGACCAAGTACAGTCTGCTGATTCCCAAAGTTAATGAACAAACGATACATCACCATGACAAATCAGACCACAGCCATTCAAAGGCCCAGAAAGAAAGTGACAGAAGCTTAAAATGTCAGTTTTCCTCTGAAACAGCACTTGAATGCCATATAGAAATATACTGACACCACTTGGTACCTGTCAGGTTGCTGGGCATTACATGCCCATATATATTCTTATCCTGCAACCTGCCACATGTCTCCAGATTTTGTCAGCCTCCACATGGAGCTACTATGCTGGCCAAAGAAAGGCAGGTCTTTGTTAGACCAAATCTCTCTACCTCTACCTCACCACCTCAACTGCTACTGAGATCCCTGTGTTATGCAGCTAGGCATGGCAGGAAGATCTCCATCCGAGCTTCTTCAGGAAAGCTATTATCTGCATCACCACAGCCTCAGTGATGCAAGGTCAAGAAGAAACAACCTAAACAAAATGAAATGGAGGAAACTCAGGAGACAGCTGCCACACATACAATATCCTCTTCTCAGCTGGGGAAAATAACATTATTCAAGAGCACTGATTCAAAAATTGAATAGTTATTTATTGTTCCAGAAGTACATTGCTCTTTTATACATATTTCATAAATGATACAGGATTTTACACATGTTCAGGGGTTTTTTGGTGTTTTTTTTGTTGTGTTTTTTGTTTTGGTTTTTTTTTTTTTAGAAGGACTTTTCTCCATGCTCCCTCCCTCATCCCAAACACACACCAAGGATTCAGCTACAGAGCTACAGGATTGTGTTCATTTTTTTTCCCTTTAAAAATCACCACACAAACAGGATAAAACAGATAAAAAATAATCACACAATGTAATTAAATTGAAAGACAGAGGAAAAGGGGAAGGGAAAAAAAACCTCGAAACATGCACCCATTCGGTCCAACATGCCATTGAGTGAGAAGAGGCAGCAATCCCAGCTGTGTTTCCACATCTGCAAGGCACCTAGCATCTAGTTAATACTGATTTGTTTTTTTTCTTTCCTATTTTTTTTTAAAACATGGTTCTTCAAAAAAACCGGAAGCCTCCTTCCATGACACAGTGAGGAGTAGTAGTGAAACATCAAAAAAGCAGCCAGCTTTTCTGTGTATAAAGCTTAGTGCCCCTCTCCCACCTTCATCCTGTCTCTACAGTATTTATCAGCAGGATGCTAAAACAGACTGACCTGCTTTGAATGAAGAGATGTTTTATCTGCTTAGAAATCAGCCAGCCTTGGCTAGAAGAGAGGGCAATGGGTTGACTTTCCTTCCTCTACTTCTTTTAGCTAAGAACAAGAGATGTCATTAGCCACTCCTAAGAAATTCTGACCTGTGGGTGCAAAGTTCATTTAAAGCTACTAAGTAGGGGAAAGTGCTAGAGAAATGAAGTACTTCTGTGTCTTGCACTGTAAGAGCCCCGGGCTTTCAAAAAGCCTCCAGGCAAGGAAAATGCTTTGACCATATATGAGACCTTTTATCCCATTACACAAGCAGTCAAATATCAAGTTGAATTATTCCATGTTCCAAAACTGTTCATTTAAGCAGGAGTCGTGATTCTTCAACAGTTTCATAATCCTTTAAACCTTCATAATTTCATAGTCTAGGTGGCTATCAGATTTGGGGTAGGAAGCGGGGAATCTCCCTCCCTTAAAACTGAATACAAAAATCCTCTCATGCAATGCTGCCATTGATTTCTAGAATGAGCTCAAGGGCATTGGGACGCAAAGTTTATATAGTTATTATGGAATAATCCAGAACATCAATTATCAAATGTCCAGAAGAAAACTCATTCCTTCTCTCACTTGGCTATAACCAATCTGTGCTACAAATAAGCAAAGGAGGAAGTCAGTGGAGCACACGGGGTGGGCTGGGAAGGGGAAGCTCATGGTTTTCCAGTAGAAAGCAGTCTTGTAGTAACTTTATAAAAGAGACCAGGTCTGATCAGAACTGTGCGTGTTAATGGCGGTGGAGTGCAAGGTCCATAGCTTCAGGGTGGTTTGGTTTTTTTTTTTTTTCTCCTCCTTTTTTTTTTTTTGAGAGAGAAAGATTTGAATCAGGTAAAGGAAAATTTAAAAAGCTAAGCAGGCTGCTGGTGTCTTATCAAGAGGCAGACCCTGCAAAACTGGAAGAAGACACCCCTACACCCCAGCATTACATTCCTTTCATGAACCCCCCCAATCCTGTATTTGTACACAATTGCCATTCAGACAGTTTTAAAACGTGACTATTTGCCAAGCCCTTTTCAGAACTAACATTCCACAATGTCCTATCTTAAACTGAAGAGATTCCCCCCCTGCAGTCCTTTGTCTTGATTAAAGGTAAAAACCCTCCACCCCCACACCACCTCCCAGCTTCCACCTGCAATGCTTTAATTAAAAAGGCAAGAGCTATGAACAGGTTTTTTGCCGGGATTCAGAGCTTCTTTGCTGATCAGTCCTTTTCATCAATTTGCTGGATGGGCAGGTGAACCTGCAGTGGGTCTCGAAGCCTCTTTAGGTCCAATTCTGCCTAAAAGTAAAAGACACATTATAAAGAACAAGCTCCCAATACACCTTCCCCAATACCATTCCCCTTTACAGAATGAAACGCTTTTCTGTATTTCCTTGTTTTTCCTGTCCAGAAGGGAGCATTCAAAAAGTAAAACAAAGTCACAGGCTCATGTTTGGAAAAACCATTCTTGGCACTTACTGGAAGACATTTGCTCTGTACTTCTCTGAACTTGTCTACATGCAGCCACTTAAAAGGACTATGGTAGGGAAGATCTGATCCCCATAAAATCACTGTAACTTTAAAAAAAAAAACCACCCCAAGCTAGATTAATGGGAATGGTTGATTCCAGAAGAAAAGCTCCATGAAAATAGAGCCACCCAAGGATATCTGTATTCAGTACAGCACGAGAAAACTCAGAGGTCTTTCTGGGTTTTCTCATAAAACCAATAGAGCCTAGCCCTGACCTCCCTCTACTGCTTGCGCAGCTCCTTCTCCAAGGGAGGGGGAGAACACATCTTGCCCTGGATATCCCACACTGTCATTTCCAGAGCCTAGGAATAAACAAAGAATGATACAGGACAGTGAAAAATAATGTGGTAGATCTGCTTTTTCTGCTCATGCCATCCTTCTGCAGAAGGGCTCTCAGAAACACGAGGAAAGATCTCTACCCGACTCCTTTGTTGAACAGATCCCACAATGTGGACAGTCTGGCAAAGGGGTCTGTCTCCAGAATATGAGAAATCTGCCCCCATTGCCTCTAAAAAAACAGCTGAATTTTTTGAACATTATTTTCCAGGACTGCAGCCCAGTGCACTGAAGTGCTATGTCAGGAAGACATGAACTGAATGGATGCAAGTCTTCATTCCTCACTAAATCCATCTGGTGTGTAGGAGCTGAGAAGAAAGGAAATCTTGAATTAGGCTCCTCCGAGGCATGAAGTGCCTGAAGCAACTCAAGATTTGCCAGCAGTTTCTAAAAGGCCCTTACAGATAGATACAGGCAATCGTTTCATGTCAATTTACACATCCAGCAGTTCTTATTCCTGGGCACATCAAAGCCAATTCAGTGATTGCACTGGGGCTGTGACAAGAAAATGGGCTGAAAACTTAAAATACATCCATTCTTGTTTGAGGTGCATCTATTAATAGCAGCTAAGAACTAGCAAGCAGTAATTTCTTTGTCTTATTTCTGAAAAAATTCTTGTTACCTGAGCAATTGCATCCTTGAGTCGATTGTATTTCTCTAGATCAAATCGTGTCTTTTTGGCTCCTTTATGGAAAAATAATAAGTACTGTCTATCTCTGGCATCTGGATAAACATATTCCTGGAAAGAAAAAAGGAGAGAAGATCAGAATAAAGCATCAACAGGATGCAACACAGGATACCATTAGCACAGTATTTATCGTGTGTGTTTTGGGAGGATGACTAGTTTCTGTCAGTGAAGGCACAAGACCAGACGACATTGTCTAAGCTCACCCAGTGTAGTGGGGTGATCCCAGACAGCAGCTAAGCCCCTGCCCCATCACTCACTTGCTCCCCTGCAGCTGGATGGGGGAAGAGAATCAAAAGAGCAAAAACCAAGAAAAACTTGTGAGTCAAGATAAAGACACTTTAATAAGTGAAGAAAAAAAAACCACCAAACCTAAGAGTGATGCAAAAGCAATCACTCATCATCCTCCACCAGCAGACCAGAGCCCAGCCACCCTCCGAGCAACAGCTACTTTGGAGAAACTTCCCCCCAGTTTATTGCTGAACATGACATTATATGGTATGGATTATCTCTTTGGCCAGTTCAGGTCAGCTGTCCTGGCTGTGTCCCCTTGCAACACCTCGCCCACCCCCAGCGTATTCCTGGGTGGGGAGTGGAGAGTCGGGGAAGCAACGCCAAACAGAGGAAGCCTCGATACTGTACGAGCACTGTTCAGCAATAGCAAAGACATTGGTGTGTTATCAAGACTGTTTTGGTCACAAATCCACAACACAGCACCATACCAGCTGCTATGAAGAACATTAACTCCATCCCAGCCAGACCCAGTACAGTCAGGCATTTGTTTCTCTACTAGCATGTTACACTCCAGCAGTGAGTTACCATCACCTCCCTCCTGTCCTGAACGCGTGAATCCTTCTGTGCAGAAAAAACAAAAACTAACACGTTTCAGGGTTCCAATACTGACAAGTTTGTGGGGAGAAAGGGAGGGAAAAAAAAAGCTATAAATACCAGAAGAAAGCCTTTGTAAGATGGCCCTTACTCTCTTTTTCTTAAGATCATAAACATGCAATGGCTAATTAAAGCAACAATAGTTGCTCATGAATTCATCTCTCAACCAAGCTACGCAGGTGAGAACAAGAATCCAATACCACAGCTTTTGCCAGGGATACTCTACTGCAAAAAGTCACAGCATTTTAGAGCGTGCAGGTAACTCGGAGCAGCAGAGCTGTTCACGCCAAATCCCACATAGCGTCTACAAAGCACAGGTCTGCCTGCTGAAGTCAACTCTCCCTTGCACCAGAATGTCACACAGCCTCTGTGTCTGGTATGCATCCAACGATCAGGGCTGTCAGGTGGAGAAAAGCTGCATTCAGAGTCAAGCCATCCCTGAAACACTGAGATTTTAAGTCTGGCACAAGTACTAGTTTATATGGATGACTTGATTAAAACATCAAATCTGAGTTCAAACATGGCAGAAGTTCCAACTGCACTTGGCAGAAACTATAGCAGGAGCCCTGACGGGCACATGTGTCCTCAGCCCCTGAAATGATGCAGCTGACAGACCACTGGAACACCACGCTAGAACACGCGCAGCATCTGTTCTGGTGGTCTTGTGACAGCAGAGACTCTTTGAGTCCTCCCTCCCTCATTATTTAGGTGGGATTATGAATTTTGAACGGGAGTACCGAGACAAACCACATACTAGAAATCCACACAGAGTCTGTCACAACTACAAGGATCTAGAGAAACACAGCTCCCCTTTGTGTGAAGATTTTCCAACACTGGAGCAGGTCTAGTTTTTAAAAGACAGCCTGAGAGCCAACAGACCTGGAATTGCACCAAGGGACAAGCATTCAATTAGATCTGCTTCATCTGGATGAGAGTCCAGATCCACGAAATACCTAAACAGAAGCATTTCCAACATGATCTCTGAACCTTTCTTGTCTCTTTATAAAGGCCAACACCCCATGTCAGAGAGGTGTGCTTCCCTGAAACTCAGTAGGTACCTCCTGTACCCATAGTTTATTTGGGCTGATAAACCACAGGACTTGGAGGCCTCCGGTGCAAGTCAATGTGTGTGAGGCTGCATGTGTGTGTGCAGAAACCATTACCTGTCAGTAGATGAACCTGTATAGCTAAAGCAGTCACTCACAGAACATACATAAGCATTTATGGTTAGACAACCAGGAAGTCAGCAATGACCACCACCAGAAAACCCTACGACCATACATCACCATCCTGGACAGTAAAAATTAAATCAAGTGGCATCTAGGTTCTGACAAGATAAGGAAAGGGCAAAATAACTTCTAATAGGCATAACTTTGCTATTTTTCTAGGGAGTAGAGCTGAAAGCAATTCTTCTATTGAAGTGTCAATGTCAGCACAACAGGTCCTACCTGGCGAGTCATTACGAAATAAGCATACATTGCCATGGCACTACCATAGGTGATGAAATAGGTGACTGGTTCCATAATGTCCCAAGAATACTCCCACCAGGTTAGGCGGGCCAGAATCCCAAACTGAGTGGCCATGTAGGCCAGGCCT